GGGGTGACTCACCAGGCTTGAAGAAGATGGAGAGGCCGAAGTCGATGGCCTTGAGCGGTGAGTTCTCCTTCTTATTGGCGAAGAGGAAGTTCTCCGGCTTGAGGTCGCGGTGGATCACGCCGTGGCGGTGGCAGAGCTGGACGACCTCGACGATGGTGCGGGTGACATTGGCGGCGGCGCGCTCGGTGTAGTGGCCCCGCGCGACGATGCGGTCGAAGAGCTCGCCGCCCTCGCAGAGCTCCATGACGAGGTGGACGGCGCCCTCGTCCTCGCACGCCTCCCGCAGGGACACGATGCTGGGGCTCTTGGGCAGGTGGCGCATGATGGCCACCTCCCGGCGCACGTCCTCGACGTCGACGGCCGTGCGCAGCTTGCGCTTGGAGATGGACTTGCAGGCGAGCAGCTCCTTGGTGTCCCGATCCATGCACAGGTACGTCACCCCGAACTCCCCGCGGCCGAGCTCCCTGTCCAGGATGTACTTGTCGTCGATCCCGATGACCTCGCACCCCTCGTCGCCCAGCACCGAGAGCCGCTTCTGCCCGCCGCCGCCGTCTCCTCCCCCTCCTCCGCCGGCGCCGCCGTTCCGCGCTTGGTGCTGCTTCTTCTTCGCGTTGGATGCGGGGAAGTGCGAGGAGCTGACGTCCTCCCGCGCGACGGCGGCCGGCGAGCGGCAGCAGTTGCCCATGGCCGCCCGAGATCAGAAGGCGGGGCGGGAGGCTAGGGTTGGAGCGGCATTTGGGGCGCTGGGGTGGAGGGGGAGAGGAGAGGAACCGAGGCAGGAAGGATACGGCCTGCGGAGAGAGAGAAGGCGGAGGAGAGGGGGAAGTAGAGGAGAGTACAGAGCCTACACAGCCTACAGAGCAGTAAAAACTGCTGTGCGGGCTAACGGTATGGATTAGGTGCTGGGGACGACGAACTGGGGACGCGGAGCCGGCGATCCGCGGGCGGTAGATTTTAGGCCGAGGAGGACGAGGCGGGGAAGGGCGGAGGGGAACATTCTCACGTGGCATCTCGGCGTGTGCGTGACAGGTCACTGCCCTGTGGGGCTGCGCAGTTTGGGGTGTGTTTCTGGGTGCGATTTGGGGTTTTACGACGTCCCGATTCGAATCTGAACGAATTTGTGAGAGAAAAATACTATTTTTAATGAAAAAAGAAATGGATGTTTAAAAACACACGTACGGGGCCGCCGTGAGCGGCTGAGCCCATGGCAGTAGCAGGGTGGGTGGTACCGTCGTGGTGGCTGGTGGAGAGTTTGACTACGCTCACTCTGGGCCCGACTCGGACAGCGTGGCGATAGGAAAATGGCGTGCCCACGAGAGTAATGTTTTTCTAACACTTTTGCTAAGGAACAGTCCCCTGAAATCAGGCTTTCGTTCAGATAACATGTGTGGTCGTCAATCATGCTAAAGAATTGTGTCTACTCAATGTGTTACTTGTTAATTGTTTTTATATCGATTTAGATCAAAATTTTGTAATTGTCTTACTATAGAAACAATTATTGGTTGTTAATGAATTGTTTATTGTTAATTGTCTTTGTGTGAATTTAGATCATAATCTAGCACCGTTAGATCTTCATCTAAAAGCTCACCGTTGTTGCCTAAATAGATGCTATTTATCCGGCATCTGAAAAATAGCAAATCCCTTTTTCTAAATATACATCGATTTATATCGTGTCTACTCAACCTTTCTAAGTTAAGTTTGGAAATATTTTAAAAAAACTTAGCATCTCACGATAAGTAAATGGTTCTTATAAAACACGTTTACGAAGGATTTTTTTTAAAAAAAACTAACTATAGTCGGTCGCTTTTGTTAAATTGGAGAGTTTGACTACGCTCACTCTGGGCCCGACTCGGACAGCGTGGCGATAGGAAAATGGCGTGCCCACGAGAGTAATGTTTTTGTAACACTTTTGCTAAGGAACAGTCCCCTGAAATCAGGCTTTCGTTCAGATAACATGTGTGGTCGTCAATCATGCTAAAGAATTGTGTCTACTCAATGTGTTACTTGTTAATTGTTTTTATATCGATTTAGATCAAAATTTTGTAATTGTCTTACTATAGAAACAATTATTGGTTGTTAATGAATTGTTTATTGTTAATTGTCTTTGTGTGAATTTAGATCATAATCTAGCACCGTTAGATCTTCATCTAAAAGCTCACCGTTGTTGCCTAAATAGATGCTATTTATCCGGCATCTGAAAAATAGCAAATCCCTTTTTTCTAAATATACATCGATTTATATCGTGTCTACTCAACCTTTCTAAGTTAAGTTTGGAAATATTTTAAAAAAACTTAGCATCTCACGATAAGTAAATGGTTCTTATAAAACACGTTTACGAAGGATTTTTTTTAAAAAAAACTAACTATAGTCGGTCGCTTTTGTTAAATTGTGTTTTGGAAATGTTTGTTTGGGTCAGTTAGAGTGAAACTTGGTTTTAGGTTTATTCAATTTAGCTAGGTATATAAATGTACTTCTTCTCATGTAAAAGGAACTTTGTTTCTCTCTGCCTTTTTTTCTCCATTACCCTCTCTTTGACTCCCATCCATTGTCCAATTGAAGAAGCAAATGTACACTAGGAGAGGCATAGCGTGGCACTAGCGCTAGCACCACAGGGTGGTGTGGGCAGGGGCAGAAGTAGTAAATTTAGGCTATTGGCTTTTCTACTGGATGGCTGATAATCGTTACTTGAAAAAAGTTGGAAAACTCACGCATGATCTCCTCTTAAAAATAAATAAATAAAGCGTGGTGCTTGTTTAAATATCCCATGGATGTCTGCAGATGTTGTCTTGCAGAAGCTGCCCTATCTGCTGTCTTCCTAATTAGCGGTCCTATTCAAATGCATAGGGGGTAAATTTTCAACTCACACCATAGTATTTTCAGATATGATACCCCAAAAAAAATCATGAAATGCCGTGTGTGACTTGCACACCACACCTGAACCTGAACTTTGGCGTCCTCTAGTTTATCTACCACTTGACTCAATCGGTGGATATGCTACGCTATATATTCAAACTCCTTTGTTGAAAATGGCAAAATCCCAACAAATCCACGGACTTTCTCCAACCACCATTGGTAGCGGATAGATTATGTATTATTATACGGCCTTGCCAAATTGCCCGATGAAAGCACGCCGCGCTTCCATAACGATGCGACGCGTGAAACTTCCCGGTAAAGAAAGCACTGCTAGAAGGCAGGCCGATCTTGGGTAGAGGGGCACAGCGAAATCCTCGAAAGCGGCAGGGAAACATCGCCGTCGGTCCCGGTTAAAATCAAAAGCAGGATCGGCTGCATCCGTAGGCAGATTGTGCGGGTCCGCGCGGCGCGTCGCGGCAGCTGTTCTGGATACGCTACGTACTGGCCTGACCGCCCATGGCCACAGCCCACAGGCGTCACCAGGACCCAGCCTCGGCGGCGGCGGCGGCAGCAGCAGTCACATCTCCATCGTGGAGAAGTCTAGACGCCAAGGCTGCTGGCCTGCTGCCGCCGTCGCATGTGTGTACGTACAGCAGCAGTACAGTGGTAGGTCAGGCACTCAGGCCCCGGGCAGCCAGGCAGGAGAGGAAGCGATCCGTTCTTGCTTGGCGACTCGGCAGGTGACAGCCAATAACCAGTAATGAACTAGTCGTGGGCTCGTTAACCAGCGGAATTGGATCTCGGCGAGAGGAAAGTCCTATCTGGTGTGCACCAACCTTTGCTTAAAAAGCAGCAGGCTGGGGTTCCACTTGGTGTACCATTTTTCCTTGGATGCCACCATGCTCCATGCATGCAAGTATACAATCCTGTTCGCTCTACACTACACTACTAGTACTTGTCCTACTTCCCTTCTCTACCAGGAGTCCAGGTCGAGGGTGTCCAATACGTCCCCTCTTAATCATTGGCCCTCTTCGATGCCGCGTGGCAGCGAAATCGTATCCTCCGCTCGTCTGCCGTGCCACACTTCAGGTTCACACTTCACACACAAGCAGGTGCCGTTGCAACTCAATCAAACAGTCAAATCCATGGAGGAAACGGCAAGAAGGACGACCGGACCGGAGGAGGCGCATCAAAGCCCCTACGGTACCGTTCTGACGTCGTGAAACGGAAAGGTTAAAAGCAGGGGGCCCGAGCCTGTGGGTGGTGTGGCGCCGCAGCGGCCAGCGGCGCTCGCTCGTCCACCGGAACAGGAGCCCGCCATGTGCGCGAAAACTGTACAACGAAGCACTGTTCCTGCCGTCCGTGCCCGGCAGGGTGCGTCACACACGGTACAGGCCTACAGCTACAGGCGATTCTTCGCACGCAGAGGCAATGAATGCCGCGCAGTTGAATTCCAGGGCGAGCTTGTGGCAATGCTGCGTCGCGCACTCGCCGTCGGACTGGACTGGGTGGGGGCGCCGGGCGCGGCCGGGCTCGAATCATTGGGTTGCTCTGCTGTTGACTTGCATCGATCGCCTAGTGGTACGAAACGGCCGTTGCTGCCTGCGCGAGGTGACCCTGTACGACGATAGGACGAACCAATGCCCATGACCATGAGAGAGTAGTAGCAATGTTACCACTCACCAGCCCTTGTGAACCTACTCCTAAGTACGTACGCTTGTCGGACGAGTTCGTCCGTAGTGTCCCTGTTCGACGTGATCCCTCGGTGCTAGGAATTCTCTGTAACACCACTTTCAGCTCCTATCCATGTACTTATCGTGACAGCGACAGTACTATGTCGGAAGAACTCGGAAGTGAAATCACTGGCATTGGCGATCGATCTCTGCCTCATTGACATTTTGGGCTGGGCCAGCCAGCAAAGCCGAGGTACTGGCCTAGTGGCCTACTGGGTAGTTTCTGAAGTGATCGCGGCAAGCCGCCAGCAGCCCAGCATCGGCCTTCCCGTGTCACACTCACACCGCTTAGCCCGGCCCGACTCATCAAAAAAATTCCTAGCTTCCTGTGGTGGTCGTCCGTCGAACCCCCCTTCCCTTTGGGCACCTCTCTCCTCCCCCCGAAGAGGAGCGAGGAGGAGCAGCGCAGCCGCGATGGACCGCGTCCAGCTCGTGCTCCTGGGCCTCCCCATCCTCCTCTTCTGCTCCGACGTCGTCACCCTCTTCGCGCCTCTTCCGCCGGCGGCCCCCGAGCCCGACAAGGCTCTCCACGCTTTTCAGCCCGGCGACGCCTCCGCCGCCGACGCTTCCGCACACGTGGTTTGTATTAGTACGGCTCCTGATTGAGTGGTTTGGTGCCCGATCTAACTGTTTGAGCTGATGGCGATTCTTGTGCTTTGCTTCGGCTTTCTCCTTCGCAGGAGCCGCAGGTGGATGGACCTGGCTCCGGCACCACCGTCGACTTGAAGTTTTGCGCCTCATTCTCGTACAGGTGATTCTGTGTACTTAGTGTTGGCTTTCTTAATTGGCATGGAGTTGGAGGAACCGATAATGATGACGATTCTTTGTATTAGTTACTGAATGGGTGGTCAAATCCATGAAATTTTGCTTGATTTACTAAGCTGGAAGGTCGTGTAGGTACACAAGCATGGTTAACGCTGTTGACCATGCTGAAATCTACCACTTCTCCTCTGTATTGTACAATTCCCCCAAAGATGAACTATTGGAATTTGTATTGTACAGTTACCCATGACACAACATGACAATTAACTAATTAAGCTTGTCTTTGCTGGAGTTATATGATGGTCTAAGATCTTAAATGCTTTATCGTTGTTGGAATGAGCTTGGGCGGGTGTTGGCAGAGAGATGAGGAAGAAGAAGAGGGGTGGGGGTAAGATAACCATGCCTACGGGACTAGCCAAAATTCTTAAGTAGGTGATCAAAAAGAGAGGTTCTAATCCCAACTTACCTTTGCATGTTTTTCTTTTAAGATAATCTAACAGTACAGTATGGCTGCAAAAGACAAGCTTGCCACTTTGCCAGTGGATACCAGCTAGCCAGGATACTGATTTCAATGCATTCACCTCAACTAACATATCTTTCAAACACTAGTTTCTACCTCTTTTGTTTGTGCTCTTTAGTCTGGTGCGAGCATCAGAGTCTACACAGCATTGACTGCTCTCTGGGGAATGGATCAATCGGATATTTCTTAGTTCTAACTCTCCTTCATGGTCTTAATCCAACTGTGCTGATGGGTTATATGGGTTGTAAAAGCAATGCACAACTACCTGTTCAGAAAAAAAAAAAAAAGAATGTTTTTTCCTCATGTACTTTGGTTGGGGTTTTTGGCCTTGATGGTGCATACTGGTTGTGCTAGGAAAGACAAAGTGATTAAAAAACAAGAGGGGACATGCATTTGTATGCCATTTGTTCATTCTAGTCGCCTAATTGTCTTCTGTCTGTAGCTAAGATAAAATGTGATAAAAGTTTACAATGTGTGATGAACGTATGTTCTCATGCCATCTGTTATGACCGGCGTCACATATACCAGGAGGAGGCCCATTAGTGGCTGAGCTTGTGCGCCGGCATTAGAGGGCTATTTATTATTTAGCCTATTTATTAGATATATCCCTTATTTTTTAGAGCTATATATATGGCTTGTAAGACATTTGGATAATCAGCGAAACAATCTTAATTGTTTCCGGCTTCCTTTGGGAGCCGAGGATTTGCCCTAGCCGCCACTTTGTTCATCTTCTCCACTTTGCAACCTCGCGACGGCGCCAGTGTGCGGCGGCGAGGTCCCAAGCTCGCTCCACCTCCCTCTCACCCCTACAGACTCCGTGATCTACGCGGTAGGATCCGTAATCCTATCAGCCTGGTATCAGACTGCTCAGGAACGATGTCGCAACCTCAGCCGACCTCCTCCTTCCCACCACCACCTACCTCCACCTTGCCGCCCAATCTGCGGGCTCGAGATCTCGGATGGCTCGACGACATCTCTGCTGCGCCGCTCACGCTCGAGTCCTTGGCGGGCTGCGATCCTCGACATCAACCGCAACATCAGCGTCCATGCAGGCGGCTTGGCGGGGCTCGTCCAGCCAGCCCTCCCCCGCCGTTCGCCGCCGCCCGCCGCCGCTTAACGCCGCCGTCCACCGGGGTTCCCTCTGTGAGCTCGGCAGCGCTCCGGCCTCGAGTTTTCCTTACGGATGCCGGTCTCGAAGGCCTGAGAGTGCCGCTCCATCTTCTGCATGTTGGCCGGCCGGCTCGCCCCCGATTCCATCATGGGCGATGGGCTCATTGCGCTCTCCGGTCTCTACACCAACGCCACCATCCATCAATTAATCAAAGAGCCGCTACCGCTGACGTCGTCACAAGCAAGGCAAAGAAGTCATCTCCGGGGTGGGCGCCTCTCCTCGGGGGCCCCACAAAGCGGCGGATCAAAGCCGCTATCTTGGCGCCAGTTGCTCCAAAGTTCTACAAACTCGAGTTCCCCACGTATGACGGCTCCGTCGACCCGCTCAATTGGTTGAACCAATGTGAGCAATTCTTCGAGAGACAAGACAGACGATGGCTTCGCAGCGCTTTGGCTCGCGTCCTATCACATGAAGGGCGCCGACAGACATGGTACTACATACGAACAAGGCGAGGCATGCCGCCACAGGAGGCGTTCCGGAACTCGCTCCCTCCGCTTTGGGCGGTATGACAGGGGCTTTCGCTTGGCGAAGAGTTGGCGCGCTGCCGTTCCTCTCCACCGTGCAAGACTACTCCGGCGCATAACGCCCGTCTGTGCCATGCCGTGACCTCTCCTCGCCAAAAGGCGGAGTTATGCGTGGGCGGGCTCACGGACGAGATCAAAGTGCATGTGGAGATGCGCGCGTCGCCGGACCTCAATCGCCATGTACTTGGCTCGGGCGTCGAAAGGCTGCGTGGCGTTCAGCTCAGTACTGCCCCTCGGCGGGGCAACCGTCCTCCTCAACGCCAGGGGCCGCCCCTCCCCCACCTGCGGCAGGCGGCTCTCGATCTGGGCGCGCGCAGCACCCTCAAAGAAATATAACGCGCCGGTCGGCGTCCGTTCCGCCGCCTCACCCCGGCGGAGATGGCTGAGCGCCGCCGACAAGGGCTCTGTTTTAATTGTGACGAGCCTTATGTTCGCGGCCACGTCTCGCGCAAATACTTTTTCTACGTACGGAGTGCGATGACTTCATCGGCGACATCGCGGTGATGATGACGCCGCTGCGGTTGCTGAATCACGTGGAGGACCCGACGGCCCCGGAGCTCGCCGGGGCTAATGCTTTCGTCGTCTCTCTTCATGCTGTTGCAGGGATCCGGCCGGCGAACTCCATGCTCGTGCCGGTCACCATCAAGGGAGAGCGCTTCCTCGCCCTCCTCGACACCGGGTCGACGCACAACTTCCTCCAGGGTGCTGCCATGCGCCGCTTGGGGCTCTCCCTCCGGTGGCGATGATCTTCGCGTCACGGTCGCTAATGGTGACCGCCTAGCCTGCGCGGGGATCGCTCGCGACGTCCCCATCCGCATCGCTGACGAGGACTTCATCATTACGTGCGTCGGTCTGGACCTCGGCGGGTTCGACTTCATCCTCGGTTTCGACTTCCTCCGGACGCTGGGACCCATCTTGTGGGACTGCACCGCCCTCACCATGGCGTTCTGGCACGACGGTCGGCGCGTCACTTGGCAAGGCGTCGGCGGTTCGGCCATGCCTACCGACCAGCAGCGCTCGGCTGCGGCCGCGGTCACCGACGACCCGGCGCTGCCTCTGCTGGACAGCCTCCTTCAGCAGCACGGCGCCATCTTCGACGAGCCCCACGGGCTCCCTCCGGCGCGCCCCTACGACCACCGCATTCACCGCCGCCCGCATCTGCCGGTGGCGGGCGCGCCTACTACCACCCCCAGCTCGGAAGGGGACGAGTGGAACGTCGATGTCAGCGGAGATGCTCGCGCAAAGGCATCATTCGACCAAAGTACCTCGCCGCCGTTCTCGCGCCGGTCCTCTTGGTGCGAAGCCGGACAAGTCTGGCGCTTCTGCATTGATTATCGTGCCCTCAGCGCCAAGACCGCCAAGGACAAGTTTCCGATCCGATGGTTGACGAGCCGCTTGATGAGCTCCCATTTGCGCGTTTCTTCACAAAATTTGGATTTGCGCTCTGGTTATCACCAGTGCGCATGCACCCCGACGACGCGTCGCTAAAGCGGCGTTCCGCACGCACCATGGCCACTACGAATTTTTTGGTGATGCCGTTCGGTCTCTCAACGCTTCCGGCTACCTTTCAGCGTTGATGAACGATGTCCTCCGGCCGTATTTGCGCAGGTTTGTGCTGGTATTTTTGAATGACATCTTGATCTACAGTTCCTCCTGGGCCGAACACCTACAACATGTCAACATCGTCCTCCACGCCCTGCGAGCGCACAACCTCCACCTCAAGCGCTCCAAGTGCTCCTTCGGTACGGCGCGTCCGTGGCTTATTTAGGCCATGTTATCTCCAAGGGCCGGAGTGGCCATGGACGCGCGGACAAGGTCGCGGCGGTTCATGCGTGGCCGACCCATACTCGCCCGCGGTCTCCGAGGCTTCACAGGCCTCGCAGCTACTATAGAAAGTTCATTAGGATTTCGGCATCATCGCCGCGGCCGACGCGTCTCTTGCGGCGAGACGCGTTTGCTTGGGACGACGACGCGACCACGGCGTTTGAGGCGCTCAAGGCCGCCCTCACTCTGGGGCGATCTTGCCGATGCGACTTCGACGAGCTCTTCGTCGTGGATTGCGCGGCGTCGGGTGCGGGGTTGGTGTCGTCCTTCACCAGGCGGCTGGACCCCTCGCCTACTTCCGGCCCGGCCTTCGCGGTCCGCCATCTCAAGCTTGTGGCTTATGGCGCGAACTCATCGGGTGGTGCAAGCCGTTCGTCATTGGCGCCCGTATTTGTGGGGCGTCACTTTTTGGTCCGTCTTGATCATTCTGATCTTAAATTTTTACTTGACGGCGCTTGTCCACGGTTCCCAAAGATCGGTGGCTCGGCCAAGCTTTTTCGGCCGATTTCGCGGTGGAATATCGCCGGCCGCCTCAACACCGTGGTGGCCATACTGTCTTCGGCGTGACGCCGAGGCGATGAAACGATGCGCGGCGGCGGTAGCGAGTGCGGCGAGGCCATCTCGGGCCGTGCCGCCTTCTTGGATGCGGTCCGATGGCTTTCTGACCGCCCGCCGCCGGGCGCTTGAAGAATTGCCGCCGCGACTGCCGCGACGGCGACTTGGCGACGCAGTAAGTGGCACGAGGACGCCGTGTTCTTCTTGCATGGCGGCGTATCTTCGATTACCGGCGTCGGTGACTGCGCCACCAAGTCCTGCGGTATGCCCATGCGGTGGACATGAGGGTGTCTGAAGACTCTCCACCGCCTCGCGCGCGACTTCTACATCCGGGATCACTCCTAGTCCAGATGGTGCGCGACTTGCGCGACGTGCCAGCGCAACAAGATGGAGGCATTCCGGCCGGCCGGGCTGCTCCAGCCGCTGGAGGTGCCTGACCAAGTCTGGGCCGACATCTCCATGGATTTCATCGAAGGGCTGCCCAAGGTTGGCGGGAAATCCGTCATCCTCACCGTCGTCGACCGCTTCTCCAAGTACGCGCATTTTATTGCGCTTGGGCACCCCTACACGGCTACCTCCGTCGCTCGCGCCTTCTTCGACAACATCGTCCGGCTCCATGGGTTCCCTTCGTCGATCGTCAGTGATCGGGACCCCGTGTTCACCGGCCATGTCTGGCGGGATCTCTTCCAGATGGCGGGCGTCAAGCTTCGCATGAGCACCACTTTTCATCCTCAGACTGACGGCCAGTCGGAGGTGGTCAACAAGGTGATTGCCATGTATCTCCGTTGTGTTACAGGTGACCGGCCGAGGGCGTGGGTGGACTGGCTGTCGTGGGCGGAGTACTGCTACAATACCTCATTCCACACGGCCCTTCGGATGACTCCCTTTGAGGTGGTGTACGTCCGCCCTCCCCCGCCTATTCTGCCGTACAGGCCGGGGACGGCGAGGACCGACGCCGTAGATAGCCTTCTCCGCGACCGCGATGAGATGCTGGCGGAGGTGCGCCAACGGCTCCTCCAGGCGCAGCAGCTGTCCAAGAAGTACTACAACGCCGGCCACCGCGATGTGGAGTTCCAGGTGGGCGACTGGGTGTGGCTGCGCCTCCTTCACCGCACCGCACAGTCCCTCGACCCGCGGGCTAAGCACAAGTTGGGTCCTCGCTATGCTGGTCCGTTCTAGGTGCGGGAACGCATTGGCCGTGTCGCGTACCGCCTCCAGCTGCCTGAGAACGCCCGCATCCACGACGTCTTCCACGTTGGTCTCCTGAAGCCGCACCGCGGCGACCCTCCAGCGACCGCGACCAGCCTTCCTCCGGCCATGGATGGCTGGCTGCTTCCTGAGCCGGCGCGGGCTCTCCGTGCACTTCAGCGCCGTTGTGTGTGGCAGGTGCTGATCCAGTGGCACGGCCTCCCTGAAGATGACGCTACATGGGAAACCCTCGACGAGTTCCGCGACCACTTCCTCGACTTCCAGCTCGAGGACGAGCTGTTTGCGCAGGCGGGGAGAGATGTTATGGCCGGCGTCACATATACCAGGAGGAGGCCCATTAGTGGCTGAGCTTGTGCGCCGGCATTAGAGGGCTAACAGCCCATATTATCTATTATTTAGCCTATTTATTAGATATATCCCTTATTTTTGAGAGCTATATATATGGCTTGTAAGACATTTGGATAATCAAGCAGAAACAATCTTAATTGTTTCCGGCTTCCTTTGGGAGCCGGGATTTGCCCTAGCCCCCGCCTGTTCATCTTCTCCACGCCTGCAACCTCGCGACGGCACCCAGCCGCCGGCAGCGAGGTCCCAAGCCTGCTCCACCTCCCTCTCACCGCTACAGACTCCGTGATCTACGCGGTAGGATCCGTAATCCTATCACCATCCCTTAAAAAGAACATTGAACCTTCTTTTGGTATTATAAACAGCTCTACAGATGTTGGTGCAAGTTCAACTGCAAAACCTCTTTATTGACATGCTTTAATAAAAATCTTGTAGAGTATAGTAGTTTGCTTTTTGTGTTTATGCTGCTATCATTTTCTACAATCATCATGCTTTTCCTTCCAAGATAAGGAAAACTTCCATGCTTTCTTATTGAAAGAATGACCCTGTGTATATATTGTATGAGAGATTGCTGATTTCATGTCAAATTTTGTAGGGGGACTGCAATGACCATGAAACGGGTGCTGGAAACCTCATTTCCTGGGATTCATGTTGTCTTGGAAAATTATCCTCCACCGTTCCCCAAACGTGCACTCGGTAAAGCTGTACCCCTTCTTCAGTTTGGAGCGATGGCAACATTAATGGCTGGTGATCAGATCTTCCCTAGATTTGGAATGGTTCCACCTCCTTGGTACTACTCACTTCGTGCTAATAGATTTGGGACCATGGCATCAATCTGGCTGTTTGGCAATTTCGCCCATTCATTTCTACAGAGTTCTGGTGCCTTTGAAGTTTATTGCAACGGGCAACTGGTAGGTTCCTATGAATACATAATTTTACTGCAATATCGTTCTGCAGTACTTTACTTTTATTTGCAATATTATATTTTCTCGGAATCATTTCTTGTCGACTGCTTGCACTTTGCTGGGCACTGAAGCTTCCTGTGCTTTACTTCAGTGAGCTATTCTTATTTCCTCTTGATAGAAGCTAGTAACATTTTGGAACCTGAGGTAAACTAGTTCCTTTTCCTGGATCTCTAAACTGAAATGTGGAGGTCAGGTCATGTTTATGCATACAATGTCTTCATATGTTGGTACAACTATCAATTGTTGGTCGCAAAGCTTTGGAAAAAGAGCAAGTTATTCTGGAACAGATGAGAGAGCTCAGAGCAGGGTTTGTTATGTTTGTTTGTATGGCATCTGTGCTTTTCTTTCTCTTGGTGGAGTCAAAGTACTAATCTGTCCAAACTTTCCTATGTTATCATTACTGAAGTGTGTATTAGTTGTACTTATGCTGCATAGTACTGTAGCCATAGCCAAACGATGAGACTGAAAGTGGTACTATAAATGCAACAAACCAAGTAGGGGAAATTGTTGAGTCCGTAATAGTAGATGCCTATGCTGGGTAGGCCATTCCAAAATGACAGGTGGTTGGTGTTTGTAAAAATAGCCTGGGATCTAGGTCTTTCCATTCATATAGAATCACAAGCTTCAAGAAAGCTTATTTTCTTATATATGCAGTCCATATGGACCATTTATGCAAATGCTAAATATGATGAGCAATCATAGTTCTTTGAAGTGGAACTATAGTCTTACTCTTTTTCACATGCGGTGTTTGAACCATTCCTGGATTCTCCTTTTCCGTAACTGAATTTCTTATGCAGCCGACCTGGATCTGTCTTGCTTATGCTAGCAATTTCTCCACTTTTCAGGTTTTCTCCAAACTGTCTGAGCAGAGGTTTCCTAGTGAGCTTGAGCTACAGGAGCTCATTGGCAACAGGATACCGGATTCTCCGATTCTGGAAAATCTGGAAAAAGATCTGGTGTTAGATGATGCTGATTCTGATGATGCCATGAGAGACTAGCTTTGCCTGTTTGTTACTAAATAGACAGAACTTGAGAGTTTCACAACTTAATTGTCAAACACACATTGTCTTATAGTTTAAACTTTATTTTCCCCACTTATGTACATAGTTATACCATAGCTATGTAATAACAAAATTTTCTGTTGAAGTCGTGTGAACTCAGAACTATCACAGATTGCAATAGCTCATTATTTGCTTAAAGAGGATACAGACTTGCACCATAGTACTTCCGATAACACCTGGGGTTAGCACTGTCTACAGAAATGCTAGTGTGCTAGGTGCTAGCTCGGTTGAGATAACCAGGTTCCTGACAGCGTGCAAATCACATGTCATTTATTGAACGAAGACAAACTACAACTGGAGTATCACATGAAGTCGGGAAATAAATCAATGTATATACATTCGTTGTCTCAGATTGATGGAGAATATGAATTACAACATTTTTTCTCAAATCTTCAGGTGCATAGGAAGATGGAGAGGAAGCAATTGCCCTTGGTTCTTACTCGTCTTGTCAGCCATCCTGGTTTCTTCCTCTTCCTCTTCTCCAACTCTTCTTTCTTCACCACCTTGTTGTCTTCATTGTTGATCATCACAGTGATCAATTGCTCAACGTTGCAGGTGCACAAGGCGAAATTGGCAGACATGTTCGATGCAATACACTAATGCAGTGTGTGGACTTTTGAAGTTGCGATGTGTATATATAGAGCAAGTTTGGATGGCTGGTCAAGGGGCCTCTCCGTACGTACGGTATGGTACAAAAGTTACGGTTAAGAAACACGTCAGTACAGTATATTCGTCAAACAATACAAGTTTTACGCCGTACGAGTTCGACTCCGGAACATGCTGTTTGTACACACGTTTTTGTTGGTCTCCACCTGTGTGGTGCTGGTAAATTTCTTATGTGTACTGTGTATATTCTATAAGTGCAAGTGAGAACACTCGAACAATGGCAGCTCTTGTTGCTTGCTGCATTGGTCAATACTGATTCGATATGCAAGAACCCCATACATCCTGAAAATGAGGTAATTTTAGGTTTGTTTCACCATACATATCACCCCATTGTCTGGCTGCCTGCAGATACAAACTGTGTCAAGCTTTGATTCATGGATGTGAGGTCTTCAATCACCTTTTTTGTCTCCCAATATAATTGTGCTGACGGAGTGAGCTACTATGGCAGACAAAGGATGAGACCGAAACTGAAATTCAAATTCAAGGACTAAATCGGCCGTTTTGATAGTTGAGGGACAAATTTGTGCTTTAGATGAAAGTTTAAGGACGAATATGGCTATTTCGCACCCGCCATACAACAACTTGTATGGTGGCACCACTTTAGTCCAACAAGTTGCAAAACATATAAATGGATGCATGGACTTGTTGAATGTGCACATCTACGCTCACATGTAGGCCACATTGAAGGACCGAGCTGGCGACCAGGGAGAGAGTGAATGGGAGCCGAATCAAAATATCTCCGAGAGAAACCGGCCTTGGTCCCAGGTTTGAGACACCACATCTGTTCTCCACTGCTCTCAGTCCATTAGCACGAACTCACACACCTTCCCCATTGCCATCAATCTCAGTGCTCCACACTTGTACACCACAAGACAAGAGACATGTTGTACAAAGCCAACCCACGCAATGGTTATTCTCCACACTAAATCAAAGCTTGATCATCTCCTAACAATCAGCCTGTTCGTTTGTTGGTTTCAGCCAGCCCAAACCAGCCAGCCAACAGTGTTTTCCTTTCACAACAAACCAGCACCAGCCAGCCCAGAAACCAACCAGCGAACAGGCCAAATCACTCGACATTTAACGCACACATGGGAACATCTCCACCATGTGTTCGCACACACGACGTCAGGTTCCCAACCTTTAAAGCCCCTTTGGAACAAAGGATTTACAAAATATAGAAATAGAAAAATGTGGGAATGAAATGTCCTAACACTTCAAATCCTACGGTGTTTTAGATGTCTTTAGAAGCAATGTAGAAAAAAGCACAGGAAACAAAATAATGAGGTTGAAGCTCATGTTTAGTTTCCTCCAAAATTCCTTCGCAATGGTCCAATCCATCGGAATAAAAAAAAAATTGTTAGGAAACATTCCTCTGTTCTAAAGTACCTTATAGGAATTTTTACTATAGGATTTAGAATCCTTCAAAATTTCAATATTTTTCCTCCATTCCAAGGTTTCTTCTATTTTCAATTCTCTCCTCGGGAAGGATGTAAAATTACGTTGCGTATAAATATAAATCCAATCCGTTTTCTATATCTAAAAGTATATGTTGGAGTTGGAGTTGGAGTTGAGTACTATGCATATCTGGCCTTCTCTCCGCAGTCCGCTCCCAACCCTAACCCTAATCCCCACTCGCTCGCTGGCTCGCCGCGGCGCAATCTCTGCTTTCACTCTCGCCCGCATCGGCCGCATCCACGATCTGGTGAATCTGAGCTCTCTCTCGTGATCTACTGATCTCATCCGTCATCCCCGACTCTGGTGACCTCGATCCGCCTCTCCTCCCTTCTCCCTCTCTCCTCCCTTCTCCCTCTCTCTTCTCTTGCTCTCGGTGAACTATGTGAGTTCGTGACCGTGTTACCGTCCGTCCCTCCTCCGCCGTTCGCCATCGTTTCTAATCGGTCTCTCTCCTCTGGGTGGCCCTCGTCATCTCCGGCACCGGGCTCCGGTTGCGCAGGTAATCCGCTAACACTAACCCTAACCCTAACCCTAGATCTGTCTTCTCCACTTCTTGTGTCTCTTCCACTGACTCTGGATCTGTACCTCTATGGCTCTATCTCTCTGACTCTGTTTTTCTCCTCCGTGCAGGTCAGTTGCCGATGCCTCGTCGTCCTCTTCCTGTGGCATAGATCGGGCACGACGGTCGCGCGCACCGTTGAGGAACGGTGCTGGAGATAAGCCATCCGCGATCAAGGTCGCCATGGCGGATGATGATGATGTCGTCTATCCACTCATTGGCAACGATGACCTGATCGCGGCAGGGCTGCTCCCAGAGGACGACGACGACATCCGTGACGACGCTGCTGCGTTGTTGGGTATTGATGTCGGTAGCGGCTCTGCTCCGATCGATCTGGACGGTGGCGACGGTGGTGGAGGGGCGGAGCCGGCGCCGTCGGCGACGGCGACAGGGACACCAATCGGCTCCAATAGCACAGATGGTACCTCATGCCTTGGTAAGCGTAAATCTGGTGTCTGGGTTGATTTTGATGAGATCTGTGAGACTGAGAATGGTCAAAAGGTTCGAACTGTTGCTATCTATAAAATGTGTAAGAGTAGATTGTCTGCTAGATCTTCTGCTGGCACTGACCATTTTATTAGGCATCAGAAATCTTGTAGGAAAAAGGTTGATCATGCTACTAGGGTTCAGTCTAGGCTTTCTTACAATCCTGATGGATCTGTGCATAACTGGGACTACAATCCTATTGTTGCTTGCTCTGAGTTGTGTAGATTGATTGCTAGGCTTGACCTTCCATTAGGTATAGGTGAGTCACAGGCATGGGAGGATTACATTGTTCTTGCTCATAACCCTAGGTTTGCCAAGGTTTCTAAACAGACCACCACTAGAGATCTTGCTAAGTTGATTACTGAACGCCGTGATAAGCTTAAGAATTTTATGTTGCCTACTGCTTCTTCTGTTGCTTTGACTTCAGACATTTGGTCTGGTAATGCTAATGAGGACTATATTAGTATTGTTACTCACTATGTGAATGCTGATTGTGAGTTACAGAAAATGGTTATTGGTCTTAGGCTGATTGAGGTTAAACATTCTGGTGAAAACATTGCTGAAAGAATTACTGCTGTGGTTGAGGAGTATTGTCTGATTGACAAAATTTTCTCTATCACTTTAGACAATGCTTCTTCTAATGCTAGGGCTATGAACACTTTCACACCTCTATTTGCTTGTTACTTGGGTCATGATCCTTCACCTGATCCTTTGGATCCTAGTAACCGTAAGTACAGTCTTGTACATCAACGTTGTGCTTGTCATATCATTAATCTCATTGTAAAATCTGGATTAAAGAGGTTGAAATATTACACTGAAGATTTTAGAACTGCAATTAACTTCTTAAATTTCTCTAATCAAAGAATTTCATTGTTCAAGGAATACTGTAATGCTAAGGGTGTTAGACCTAAAAAGTTTGGCTTGGATATGGATGTTAGATGGAATTCTACTTACCTGATGCTTAAACACTTGGTTCCATACAAGAATGTCTTTTCTGTGTTTATTAATTCCCATTATGGTTCACAATTGTTGACTACAAATCATTGGCATTTTGCTGAGAAGTTACTGGAGTTCCTGGAACTCTTCTATGACTCCACTATTGTACTGTCTGGTGTTTATTATCCTACAAGTCCACTTGTTCTGCACCATATCCTAGAGATTGCTTCTTATTTACATGCATGTGAAAAAGAGCATAATCTAAGAGCTATTGTATTACCTATGAAGCTTAAGTTCCTTAAATATTGGCAGGACATACCTCTGTTATATTCATATGCATTCATTCTTGATCCTAGAGCTAAGATGAGATGTTTCTTTAATGTGCTGCAATTACTTGGTGAATACACTAGTTCTGAGTACAGTTCATACTATGCTGATGTCAAAACTGAATTATATAAAATGTTTAACAAATATGAGAGCAAGTTTGGTGCAGCTAGGTCTCAAAGGGTTGCACAACCATCACATCATACAGGTAAGAAAAAGCAGGCCTAGAAAAGAATCTTTGGCCGTGGATCAAGTGTTGTTGGTCCTTCCCCTCTCCCTGCCACTTCATCTTTATCTACTTCTGTTTCTGAGCTATCAACTTACTTAGACAGTGACAATGTCACTTCTTATGAGGATGATTTTGACCTACTTCTGTGGTGACGTGACCACAAGCTAACATTTCCAATCCTGTCTATAATGGCTAGAGATATCCTATCAGTTCATGTATCTAGTGTCTCTTTGAAGTCTTGTTTCAGTTTGACAGGTAGGATAATTGAGGAACGGCGGCGGCGCTTGTCACCAGAGACTGTAGAGATGCTGACCTGCTTAAAGGATTGGGAGTTAGGAGAAAAAAAGGGAACAACATGCTGTTGACAACCAAGAACTTGAAGACTCATTCCAGAACTTGTACCTTGATGAAGATGGACCTGCTGCTGGTGCTCCTGGTATTTAGTGAGGTACTGAGGTTGAGACTTGCCTCCTGAGTGTGTGTGTGATCTGTGACTGTGAAAGGGGTGTGTGACTTAGTGACTGTGAAAGACTTGTCTATCATTTGAACAATGGTTAATTAAGAGCTGGCTGCACTCTTTTTTTCTTTCTAGGGTTTCTTACAAGGGTGAGTTTTATATAGAAATGTTTTTAATGAGGCAGCATTGCACTAAATAGCTCATTTTGGTTATTTCTGTTGTCTGTCGGCTTTGGACTTTGATTCTGTGAATCAGTGAATGTATGAAACTATGATCTGTGAATGTATCGAACATTTCGACTTCGATTCTGTGAATGTATGAAAATGTGACTGTATCGGACAAGTTTTGGACTTTGATTTTGTGAATGTAAGAAACTGTGATGATGTATTGATGCGAACTGTGAATGTATGAATTATGAAACTATGAATTGTTATCTGTTTGTGAAATTGTGAATGCAAAGGGTAACAGGCCGCGGGCTGGCACGGCCTGTGATTCTAGCCGTGCTTCGCGGGCCGGCCCGGGCTGTGATTCTGGCTGTGCTTCGCGGACCGGCCCGGCACGGAAATCGGCCCATAGGGTCGTGCCTGGGCTGAAGGCTAGGCCCGTGGACCTATGAGGCACGGCGTGCCGTGCTGGCCCGTTGGTTATCGGGCTGTGCCGGCACGGGCCCGTGCCGGGCCGGGCCGGGCCAGCCCGTTGGCCATATATAGCCGTCCGCATCTGCAAGACTGCAACTCCAGGGACCAGGGTCGTCGCCATCGCCACTCGTCAGAACGAGACCACGAGCACGAGGGCGGGATGCTCAGTCTCGGGCCTCTCGGCGCCCACATCTCGCCGCTGTCCTGCTCCACATACCACGCTCCCCTACTCCAATCCAGACGCCTCTCTCCCGCACCCACTGCCCCCGCCAGCGCCGCGGCCGCGTCCTGCGCGCCTCGCTCACTCTGCTTCCTCCGCCGCAGGAGCAGCCGTTTCGCAGCGGAGCGGACCCGGAGGCCTACCATGGCCGCGGCAATCTCGCTGGAGGCCGGTGGGGGCCTCGCCCACGACCTAGGGTCCGCAGCCGTCACAGCTGGTGTCGCCCTCGCGCTCCTCAAATTATTCGAGGAGCTCGCGAAGCGCGGCGTCTTCGAGCAGGTTAGCCCGGCTACGCCCTTCGTGTATCGCGTCGCCCCTTCCTTCTGCGCTTATCTTCGCCGATTTAGCGCGACTACGAGACTACTAGTAGTAGCGTCAGAATTTCACTAGAGTACTAGCACTAAGGAAGCCAGTGCTGCATTACCCTGGTGAACGAATTGTAACAGAAACGAGTTGGGAATAGTTTCTATCATATGAAATGTGCTCGTCTGTAGTACAATTTGCATGTTCAAACTACGCAATGTTGTGGTCGCTCGTTGTTGTTGAACCCACTTGCGGAAGCTGAGAGTATCACGATTCACAACATCACTACTCACTAGCAGTCCAATGAGGTGCTACCGGTTCTAGCGTCAGAATCTTCTCTAACTAATTCTAGGAGTAAGGAAACCACTGTTGCATTGGTTGATGTATGAATTGTGGCAGAATGAGTTGGGAGTCGGTACTATCCTGTGAACTGTGCTTGTCAAAAGTGTTTCGATGGCTTTGGATGAAGTGAGTCAAAAGTTATCCTTGCTCCTTCCAAAGTTTAGAGATCACTGCAATGAGGTATTATCGCAGATTTGCATTATACTCCTGTGTTTCAATGGCTTTGGATGAAGTGAGTACTAGTGTTGAAGTGACACAGGAGAGGAGCTACAGGATGCCAAATGCTAAGTATTAGCTGTGCCTTTCAGAAGTGTTTTTTGCATTATTACTGTGAGATAGGATATTTTAGGTGGAATTGGTGATGATTGATGAACTAGTAGCCAAATCCCACATAAATATCTTAGATTGCTTAGTGCCAAATTATGAGTTTAGGTCTATGTATTTTCAGTTTGAACAATACTGAGAAATGAATTCTAAATGTGTGAGAGTTCAGCATCTGTTATTCAATACATTTAGAAAGAGTAAAAAGTGCATTCTAGCAAAAAAAATTTGTGAACAATACATTTGTCGGAGTAACTCAATTTATGAGCAATTCCAGGCTGAAGTCAAAGGGGTGCCTGTATTTTAAAATGCACTTTATTTCTGTGCAGAAACTCAGCAGGAAACTTGTTCATATAAGCGTTGGGCTGGTGTTCTTGCTTTTTTGGCCTCTTTTTAGGTAATAAGATTCTGAAACGCCCCAGTCATTGTATATCATCATTTTGGTGTCAGATATTGACATTTATTGCAGCTCTGGATGGTATGCTCCTTTCCTTGCTGCGCTAGCACCAGGGGTTAACATTATAAGGATGCTTCTACTGGGGCTGGGACTTATGAAAAATGAGGCTATGGTTAAATCAATGAGCCGCTCTGGAGATTACAGGTTCACTTGCATATACCAATATTTGATCATTTGATACTGCTTATGCTCAAATTTCCTGTTCTTACTTTGATGCTTCAGGTCATGGCACTCTGGTAACTGAATTTTCTTTTGAACACAGGGAACTTCTCAAGGGCCCACTGTATTATGCTACTACTGTAACTTTTGCCACGTCTGTATTATGGAGAACCTCACCTGTTGCTATAGCACTTATATGCAACTTATGTGCTGGGGATGGTATGTTCATTTATCTGCATTTCACTCTTTTGATCCTAGAATAAACCCAGCAGAATGTTTTAGTTCCTTGACATAGTTACTGGAAACTGTATGTCATTAATTTGCTCCTCTTTCCTTTATCAAAGGAAAAAATCGTTCTCTTTCTGCATATTCCAGATAGTTTCATACTACAAACATGAGAGTTAATTGATTGGCCCTGCCATACTGATGTTGATTTATGCATTCCCAGGTATAGCTGATGTTGTTGGGAGACGCCTAGGTAAAGAAAAGCTTCCATACAATCCCAACAAATCATATGCTGGAAGCATAGCAATGGCGGTGGCTGGTTTTCTGGCCTCAGTTGGGTAATGTCTGACCTTTACTGAATTCACAGTTGCATCAACTTTTTTTTTAATCATTCAGTCTCATTTATTCAGGTATATGCACTACTTCCACACTTTTGGTTTTATTGAGGAAACATGGTACATGGCTTTAGGCTTCCTCATGGTCTCTGTAGCTGCAACACTCGTTGAATCACACCCCATCAGCACAGAACTGGATGACAATTTGACTGTTCCTTTAACATCATTCCTAGTTGGTAGCCTCATCTTTTGATGTATAGCCTCAAAGGACATATGAGATGTTTCTCCATTCTGTTGTAATTATGTAAAACGTTACTAAAATAATACTATAATTGTGAGAATCTGTACCTAGAGTTCACTTTTGTTTATCATCCAGTGTTACTCCTTTGGATTGTAAATAGAAGTCAGTTTTAGGCATAGTTATTAGGACCGGACTGGACATCGAACCGCTCAAGCCCTCGGTTCACGGTTTGATTGGTCCAACTGGTTGAACCGCCGGTTTAATCCGGTTCAAATAGAATGAGGAACGCTACTAGAACTCAAAGATATTGTGGCGTAGTGGTGGAGAACTCACTCTCCAACCTTGGGGACCAGTGTTCAATTCCCTGCAGCCACTCTTTTTACACAGTTTTGCCATAGGTCCAGGCCGGCCTGTTTTCATCGGCTCAATGTCCACCACTACGCCACAATATCATTTGTGTTCTAGTAGCGTTCCTCATTCTATTTGAATCGGATTAAACCAGCTTGACCGTGAACCGAGGGCTTGAGCGGCTCAGTGTCCAGTCCGGTCCTAATAACTATGGTTTTAGAATATGTGGTGGTCAAACTTTTCAAATTTTACCATTGTATATAAATAATTATGTAGATTAAGTTTTTTTTTTGAAAACCTGGCAGGAGCTCTGCCTCTCAATTAAGGAAGAAAAGAAGTTTATATGTACAGGGATTAAGTCGTAAATTGATTTACATGAATTTTAATACAAACTCTTTTTATTTAGAAAAGTATAACTTAATAGAAATAACTACTGAGGTGTCATATTGAAGACAGTGTCAATGTTCATAAACGACTTATATTCCCTTCCAGAGGGAGTAAATGTTTTAATATATCCAGTCACAAAGCCTTCTTTTGGACATAAATGCGGTCAAACTTTTCAATTGACTGCTTACATTCTTTTTAATTAGTTAGATTGCTTATATTCATTTGTATAACTATCTTACCAAATAAATTAGCAACCAGAGTTGCCTTTTGAGGGTCATGTTGCCGTGTTGCTGTCTGTAATACTGACCTGTATGGGAGCCCTGAAAGAGCATGATCCTTTGTCATATTGGGCATCTTATTAGTTCTCTCGTTAATCAGGCAAGCTTGCCCACATAGTTTTGAGGTCCTTTTCTTTTCATCTTATAGCCCATCACATTGCTCCAAATAAATGTCAGGATGTAATTAGTGGTGATTATTTCATTTGTTTGAAAAAGGTATTTATTTCACCTTATAATGAACTAAAGCAAACAAACCCAAGTATCTTGATGAAAGGGCAAGGTTATCCTTGCTTCTCTAGGCACTCGTTCTGGTCAACCATCATCTGTTCCCCTCATCGAGAAATCTAAACAGCCTGTTCGGTTGGTTGGTTCATATCGTTGCTGGTTCGTGAAGAAGTACTGCTGGCTGGTTTGCGTGAGAGAAAAACACTGTTTTGGCTAGAAATTTACGATCGTATACGATCATTTTCCTCCAGCCTGGCTGCTAGTTTCTTGTTTTTGTCAACTCTCAAGTGACAAGGCTCTTTCAACTGCATGCTGCGAGATACTAATGGGTGCAATCAGTTCCCTTATGATGATGACTCAGGCGTTTATCTCAACTTGGTAGGTTGTTAATCCGGGAATGCTGTACCGAAGGTAGACATACATACCAGCATTTCAGTAAACCGGCTAATCAATTAAGAACTCCATGTTGGCTTGTTGGAATTTTACATTCGCATATTTCTGTTGGATCGTGGATCAAATTATTACCCTATCGATAATTAATTCCTTGGACTTCGGCACAACCTACATTTGTGTACCATATAGTTCACATAATCCAAGTTGTGGTTACAAAAAAACAGAATGGTGACATCCTGTGCCGGATGAGATCCAATCCCTAGGCCCTAGCTGTTTCTTCATGCTCACCCTAACACACTCCAATGCTTTTTACGATAAAAAGATGAGGCCTCCGTTCTGATGATCTTTGAACGTGGAATATATTTACTGAATATTCCAGCTGCGTCTCCAAAGGTACCAATCTTCAGACTCCAGAGTCGAGACTCCAATTGCATCTCCCCGACTAGTACCCGGTTATGGCCTAAAGCTTTTGCTACAGCTACGGTTGCAATGTCTTTCAGTATATCACTGTAGCAGCAGCTTCTAGCTGCAGCAGCAACGTCTTTAGCTCAAGCGAACGAAGGCAAAAGTTTTGAGGAAGAAATAGGTCCGCGTCAGAGCTGCCATGTTGCGGCACATTTCGTTCCCACCATACGCCGATCCGAGCGCGCATCACGTCTCACGAGCTCGCCTCCGAGCTGGCCCCAACATTATCAAACTCAACCTGCACATTAGCCCAAAATATGGCTATTTAAACGCCCATCTCCTTTTATCAGTCATTTCGCGCGCCGTTGTTCACGTACTCTTTGAAAGCTTGCTCGAACACTAGCCAAATGCACGTCACGTCGACCGGAGCCCGGGCCGTACATTCCCAACCTCCCGGCGGTGCCGGCGTGGCTGAACAGAACAACGCCGACATCTGAAAATTTATTTGTCCCTATGACCACAAAAAAAATCTAAATAGATTTGGAGTTGTTTGGTTCTTTAATCGCTCCTAAAATTTATGTCACGTCGAATATTTAAATACTAATAAAGAGCATTAAATATAGATTAATTACAAAACCAATTACATAGAAGAAAGCTAATTTGCGAGATGTTTTTTTAAGCCTAATTAAGCTGTTATTAGCATATATTAGCATATATTTACTGTAGCATCATGTTGTCAAATCATGAAGTAATTAGGGTTAAAAGATTCGCCTCGTAAATTAGTCGCAAGTTGTGGAATTAGTTTTGTAATTAGTCTATATTTAATACTCCCTGCGTGTCCAGATAGGAGCCAAACATGGCCTAGGTCCAGCTGAACAGGCACTTGGATGAAACAGTAGCGTGCTAATGGCTACAGCCCCGTGCAGTGCGACCCCATGGCATATCATCGATTTGTGCGAGAAGAGACCAAGCAACGGTGACTCCCAGCTTACAGAAGCCTAGATCACGTGTCATAACTGATTGCGGCCCTTTTAGGCGTGAAAACAACCGAATCTTTTGCAGCATCTGAGTAAATGTTATCAACAACTCGAAAGGCCACAACATCAACTTCCAGTTCTCCACTTAATTCAACACAAACAACCCGTCTTGTAAGCTCAATCACACCAGAACCACTGACAGGCATTCTTCCACCTCCAGAATCTGCAGGTACAATACCCTCATGATGGATACTAGCAGTGCGAGTTGTTACGCGTCCCCCGAGATGTTCTGGCCAAGCACCATCAACAATTTCAACACGGATGGTAGCCTCAACTGATCGAGCAAGTACTGCAAATGCAAACTCAAGTTTGCTTTGGTTGCAGCGTAAATGACTTGTAAATATCCTAGGACGACAATATCCCACATAACCAGAAGCAAGCTGAGAATTCAAGATATCGAAGCAGATCACTTTATCTTCAGACTCAGTCCTGCCCTTTGATTTCAGTTGAACTTCAAACCTTACTGGATCAACTAACACAACTGCACGGGATGGGCCAGTTAACTGCAAAAAGGGAACCTGCAAGCACCATCAATTATTAATCAGTTGATAACTCTCTCATCTCTAATAATTTAATTAGCACTCCTGCAAGTTCTTACAAAAAGTACTAACTAGCGATGTTTTGTTTATTCCAAGAAAAAACAAACAAAAAAGTTGGTAGACCATACAAAGAATAAACTAATGAGAGCATATGATGTGAGATACTTTATGGCACATTGGGTGCCAGCAGTTCCGCTCCTAAGCCCCACTGTAATTAGGTTGCCACAGCCCGGTCCACACCCTGGGTGCCACTCGTCGCCACCCGGGGGCGCACCGGGCCACGCGCTGCCGTCGCCGCCTCCGCCTGCAGCACCACGCTCCGCTCCCGCGCCACCGCTGCAGCACCGGCGAGACGGCAAAACTGTATTTGGTTTGCAGGCGAGTCGAGGGAGCTGGGAGGAGCTGTTTTCTTTGGCTTCGTCAGTCAGACGCCATCGCCTTGTGCCACCGTGCATTCAGGAGATTCACGGGATGAGCAGATTAGGTTTTGAGCCATTTGGTAGGTAAAGAGGCAAAAAAAAGCTTCAGGAGCTATTGGCGAATCCCCACCAAACGGCCACTAGAACTGCTATTTTTGTTGACTTCGCACTAGTAAAGATGATATTTTGTAACTGGACCAATGGACCTATAGATATAAGATATATTTTATCCTATTTTCTGAGCCTACCATGTACAGTTCTTATCTTGATAAGATCCTAAACATTTCATGGCAGAAGTCGCAGAACCACTGATATTGCGTTGAGGCCTATTCAGATGGTGCTTGCTGCAGTTTTTGCTGGTTATTGTACTACTCTACCTACGACTTCATGCATAATCAGAAGCAGGCAGCAGGTAGCTGGGGCTGGAAAAAATTTTATTTTTTGTTTCAGGTTTGATATTCAAAATTTTCAGCACAACAATATCTCCCCTTACGTCATCAAGGGTCAGCCTTGAGCCCGTATCTCTTTGCCTTGGTAATGGATGAAGTGACTAGGGACATTAAAGGGGATATCCCTTGGTGTATGCTGTTTGTAGACGATGTAGTGCTAGTTGATGAAAGCCAGGCAGGAGTAAATAGGAAACTGGAGTTATGGCGGCGGACCCTTGAGTCCAAAGGTTTTAGAGTAAGTCGAACTAATACAGAATACATGAGATGCGACTTTGGCAACGCTACACATGAGGAGGGAGACGTGAGTTTGGAAGGTCAAGTGGTGCCTACGAAAGATTCCTTCCGTTATCTAGGATCGATGCTGCAGAAGGATGGAGATGTTGATGTAGACGTTTGCCATAGGATTAAAGCAGGGTGGATGAAGTGGCGCCAAGCATCTGGCATTCTCTGTGACAAGAGGGTACCACAAAAGCTGAAAGGCAAGTTTTATAGAACGGCGATTAGACCAGCTATGTTGTATGGAGCAGAATGTTGGCCTACAAAAAGACATGTCCAACAACTGAGTGTCACGGAAATGTGTATATTGCGATGGATTTGTGGTCACACAAGGATGGATCGAGTTCGGAACGATGATATACGTGACCGTCTAGGGGTAGCACCAATTGAAGAAAAGCTTGTTCAACATCGGTTGAGGTGGTTTGGCCATGTCCAAAGGAGACCTTCAGAAGCACCAGTGCGTTGTGGAGTTCTAAGTCGAGATATCAATGTGAGAAGAGGTGGAGGAAGACCGAAGCTAACATGGGAGGAGGCAATTAAAAGAGATTTAAAGGGTTGGGATATACCTAGAGATCTTTGTTTGGATAGGAGTGCTTGGAAAACAGCTATTGATGTGCCTGAACCGTGGCTAGGGGCTCATGTTAGGTTTCAACTCTAGCCTACCCCAAATTGCTTGGGACTAAAAGGCTTTGTTGTTGTTGTTGTAATATCTTCCCTTACGAGGTCCATACAAGGCATAAGCAGCCACTAAGCACACCGTTACTTATTTGATAGTACTCTTTGGGATGGAATCTATACTTGTGGTTTGACAAATGAATTTTAAAGGTAAGAATAAATTTGGGCATAAGTATTTGTGGATCAAACTCAGGAATCAATGTGGTTTGAAAATTGAATTTTTATGGTTAACAATACACATAGCCACAAGTATGTGTATCTGACACAAGAAACAATATTTGTTGTTCAAGCAATAAAATTATGTGGTTAGAAATAAATTCGATCACTAGGATTTGTGTTGTAGAAATGTTTCTTTATGGTTAGAATAAAACAAATTTGTAGGTTAAAAATGAATTCTTGTGGTGAATGATAATTTGGTGTATGAGAAAATATGTTCGGGTCAATATACTTTCCTAGTTGTTCCAAATGTTCTGAAACTTTGGACATAAAAAAAATACGGTTCATGATACAAAGTTTGTCTGAACATTATGCCCTGTTTCATCTATATAATGCTTCTGACATTCCCCTATGCTTTTGGTTGTTTTCTTGTATATAAACTATAAACAATGTTTGTTCTGGTAGGTCGATCCAAAGGAAGTGAATAGTGATGGATTGTTCATATTGAGTTTCAGGAAGTTTTGTGTGGTGCTAAATTAGCACATTTGATGGTGTCAACAGAAAGTCATTCAGGGTTGATCTGCTAAATGGAAACATAGACCAGTAATATGCTAGAATGGAGAAATCACATGGCTGCTTTGGTGCCTGGGCCTGGAGTATGGTTTTATGGGGAGACGGAGAGATAGATCCAAATATTTGTGGTTGCGCAGAGAGCCTTTTATAGTTGTGCTGGACATAAAAATGAAAAAAAAGCCTTCTGTGCTCGGGCATGATATTATTTGTGAATGGACAAATTTATTTAGAACTTTTTCTCACACATAATATTATTTGTGATCAAGCTATCATTTTTTGTGCCCATACATGTTATTTTTTGTGTGATCAGACCACTTCATTTACTTTTTATGCCTTTGGACTAGTTGTTTTGTTTTCACAAATGAGTACTCAAACTATAGGTCCTTTTTAAAAAAGGGAACTATAAATCTTGATGTCATGGCCCATGGCAGAAACAATTATATTTTTCCCTGAATAAAGAAACGTATACTATGAAGGGCGGGCCTGATGCAAGCGGTAGAGTCTTACCGCCTGTGACCGGAAGGTCTCGGGTTCGAGTCGCGGTCTCCTCGCATTGCACAAGCGAGGGTAAGGCTTGCCACTGACACCCTTCCCCAGACCCTGCACAGAGCGGGAGCTCTCTGCACTGGGTACGCCCTTTTTTTTAAAGAAAGGTATACTATACTTGTTAGGATATCATCAACTAACTAGAATACTGTGTATTAATACGCATCTGCTTTGTAATTTGTATATGCGCTGGACATCTTTACAATCTAGTTGACTACTTTTTGTTGCCTTATCTACCTCTAACAATCTTTACATTCACTAAGAAAACCTAAACTGCATGTTCTCTCCGGTTTAGCAGCCATGGCCCACTCCACGTCGTCCACCCATCCCAAAATTAAAACCAACTAGTGGTGAGGGCTTGGGAAAAAAACACGGCCTATGGTGGGCACAACGTCCGTGCAGTCTGGTGGAAAAAAAATTGTAGTCGCTAGTCGGATCATGGGTGGTCTCAATCAGTTGAATTATTTCATGCAAATACAAATGCAAAGAAAAAAGTGCGACAATTATTAACAAGCAAAATACATACAGAGGTGAACAAAACAAAATATATAATAGAATCAATAAAACTGAGAAGCAGAAAAGGAAACTTAGATGGCACATACCTCTTCAGTTACAGTTTGGCAGTTATCCCTAGTGCGGTGGAAAATAAGATTGCGTCTAGGATCGATAGAATCCCTGGTGGCAATCAAGCCATACACATGTAGTGGCCAGTGAAGACCCTCTTCCTCTTTGATCTGGGCGACTTTAACATAGAAAATCTGCATTCCATTGTCTGGGATAGCATATTTTGGGACGGATCCAAATGTGTAGAGCATGGGGGGCACAACAGCTACAACAAGGATTCCATAAGTTAAGGGTCCGTTGATACAAAAGGTGCATCAAATATCACTTATACTTAAGGCAGATGTTTAATTCTGCATACAACAATATATTCTAGCCAAAAAGAAAATTTTGTAGAGAACCCCAGAAACACAAGCACAATGTGGTAAAAATAAGTTTAACCATGCTAGACCCGACATAAAAGGGCGTACCCCCAGTGCAGAGAGCTCCCGCTCTGTGCGGGGTCTGGGGAAGGGTGTCAGTGGCAAGCCTTACCCTCGCCTGTGCAATGCGAGGAGACCGCGACTCGAACCCGGGACCTTCCGGTCACCGGCGGTAAGACTCTACCACTTGCACCAAGCCCACCCTTCATTCTAGACCCGACATATACATAGAAAATAGCACGTGTCATTTGTATAATATAAATATAAAGTCACCTTTACATCAAACTAGAAAACCCCTCAACTAAATAAATCAATATAGGCAATATTATTAAATATTTGAGTTGTAATTAGACTGAGTTTGATTGACTTACTAGTGCTCTCAGACGAACCGTAACTATCGGCATAACGTCTTTCCCAGTGTTGATGGAATATAATGATTTCGTTATCTTCCTCGCCATACTTCTTATCAAGAAAGGATAGATTTTTCATCTTCATCATCATCCTATTCTTCAATTTCATGCTGCTTCTCTTTTTGAGAGTGACAGGACCCAACAGGAAATCGTTTGAGACCGCCTCAGTCTCCATCGCGCGTGCAGATCTAACCTGATGTCGAAACCTGGCCGTCACAACAAGAGTGGACCCAGTATAGGGCACCGATGTATGCCCGATAATGTTAGCAAAAAACGAAGTTAGTATCCATAATACACGGGCAGATACAGTAAAGGACATGGGTATACACTTGTACACCCAATAATTTGTAAAAAAGAAAAAAGAATCAAAGTTTCTATGAACAGGATATGTATACTACACTTAGGCCTTGTTTGGATGCACATGTATCTACCTCAATCCACATGTGTTGGAGTGGATTGGAGTGGAACATAGTTTAATTTCCACTCCAATCCACTTCAACACATGTGGGTTGAGGCAAATACATTGGCATCCAAACAAGCCCTTAAGTAATTGGATTACATCAGATCTGAATACAAATAGAAATAGCTTAAGCTAGGGTTTGGGTGCTCGATTTCGAATATCCTAGACAGCAAGCAATTTGGTTAAGAATTGAAACGAGGGGCATAGCTATCTTACCAAGAGGAAGAGCGCGGCACAGGGATGAGCAACAGCAAGCACGCACACGAGTCACTGCAGGAAGAACGGCACAGGATGAGCAACAGCAAGCACACGAGTCACTGCAGGAAGAACAGAGTGCCGAGACAGGTGAAAAGATGCTAGGGTTTGGTTCAGGAATGATTTGAATTTGAACGAGATAAAGAAGCTGCAGGGGGGAGCACAAACCCTAGAGGGGAGCTGCAGCAGCCAGGTCGTGCCGCAGAGATGCCGGAGACGAGGAGGACGACGACCGCGCATGAGCGCACGACCGCGTGAAGAGGCACGGGCGGCGGGCGGCGGCCGGCGCAGGGCGCGCGCGGGGCACGGTGAGGGCGGGGCGCGGGGCGCGGCGCGGAGGTGCTCGGCGAGCGAACGGGCGGCGGCTCTAGGGTTAGGTGAGCTCAGGGCGCAGCGGCGGCGGTCTGTAGCGCGGCCAACAAAGGAAAGGAGTTTGGGCCTGTTTGGGTTCCATGGACTCGAGACTACTACAGAGACTAAAACACGGACTAAGGGCTGGGATTAAAGATGAGCAACGGGCCAGCACGGCCCAGCACGGCCCGAGCCCGGGCTAGGCACGGCCCGAACGGGCTCGGGCCCTTTTGGCCCGTCGGGTCATTGGCCCGTCGGGCCACCGGCCCGTGCCTGGACAGTCCACCGTGCCTGGTGGACAGACCAGGTACGGTCCGTGGGCCGAATATCGGGCCGTGCCAGCCCGTTGAGCCCGTGGCCCACTAGTCCATCGAGCCAGTCCATAGCTCGTTACACAGTAAACACCATATTTCAAACAGCACAATCACAGGTTCAAACTTCAAACAATCACAGGTTCATATATTCATATTCAACAATCACAGAAACACCAGATGACAAAAGATTTGAGCTGTTTGTGCAATGCCGCCTCATTAAAAATCTTTCTAGGTAAAACTCATACCTCGTGAGATAAAACCCTAGAAAGGAAAAGAGTACGGCCAGCTCAATAAATTAAAATGTTCAAATTGTTCAAAGTTATTACAAACCAACTAGCTCAAATGTCTCAACTCTCACAACTAAAGTCACACTCACAGCCTCTCAGGCTCTCAGCTCTCAGCAGTCAACCATCACCAGCAGTAGATGATCCACCAGCTCCATCATCAAGGTACTGCTATTTGAAGTACTCTTCTAGCTCTTTGTCCTCCACAGTGTGCTGTCCATCGGATTCACCTAGCTCCCAGTCTTTGACACAGATTAGCATCTCCACGCTGTCCGCGCCTAATCGTCGTCGTCGCTCCTCAATGATCCTGCCAGTAAGACTAAAGGTAGACTCCGAAGAAGTAGTTGATACAGGAACCGTCATAATATCTTTAGCCAAGGTACAGAGAACTGGATAGGTTAGTTTATGCTCATGCCACTAATTGAGGATATCAAAGTCATCATCATATACCACAACACTGTCACTGTCAAGGTAAACAGTGAGCTCAGAGAGACTAGGAGGCACAATAGATCCTACAGATGCACTTGAAGGACCAGAAGAAACTGATCCTCCAAAAATTTTGCCCCATGCCTGCTTTCTCTTACCTGTCAGTCCAGATGAATGGGTGGTTCTAGCTGGTCTAGCAGCACCAAACTTAGATTCATACTTGTCATAGAGTTTATGCAACTCAGATTTAACCTCAGCAAAGTAATCAATGTAACTCATATTGTTACTTAGAGCAAACAAGTCAAGCACATTTCCCAGACCTTTCAACTTAGCCCTTGGGTCCAGAATAAATGCAAAAGAGTATAACAGTGGTATATTCTTTCAATACTTAAGAAATTTATTCTTCATTGGCACAACTACAGCAGCAAGAGTATTATCATGTTCAAATTTATGCAGATGGGATGCAATCTCAAGTATGTGATGCAGTACCAAAGGACTAGTGGGGTAATAAACACCAGAAAGTACAACAGATGAATCATAGAACAACTCAAGGAACTGCAATACCTTGTCAGCAATGTACCAATGTTGTTCATTCAATAGAGGATAGCCAGACTGAGAATTGATGAACACAGAAAACACAGATCTATATGGCATGAGATGTTTTAGCATAAGGTAGGTTGAGTTCCATCTAACATCCATATCCAAAGCAAATTTACGAGGCCTCGTACCCTTAGCAATGCAGTAGTTTTTGAATTGTGCAATGTGATGATTAGATGAATTCAGAAAGTTAATTGCAGTCCTAAAAACCTCTATGTGTGGTTTAAGCCTTTTCAAACCAGATTTAACAATCAAATTAATTATATAGCAAGCACATCTCTGATGCACAACATGATAGATCTTTTTACTAGGATTCAATGGATCAATATCATAACCCAAGTAACCAGCAAGCAGAGGACTCAAAGTAAGCATAGCAGATGTATTAGCAGATGCATTATCAAGGCTAACAGAGAAAACTTTGTCAAGTAGGCCCCAATCTCCAAGCACACCAGCAATAATTTCAGCAATGTTAATACCACTATGAGTCACTTCAATCAGTTTAAAGCCAATAACAGCTTTCTTAAGTTCCCACTCAGAAGTAATGTAGTGAGCAACAACAGTGATATAATCTTCCTTAGCATTGCCAGACCAGATATCAGATGTCAAACAAACAGAAGACACACCAGGCATTACTTAATTTTTAGGTGATGTAGTTTTTCATTGAAAAGCTTAGAAAGATCTCTAGATGTGGTGAATCTAGACACTCTCTTGTATCTAGGATTGTGAGCACGCTGAATGTAATCATCCCAAGCATCATTGTCAGCAATAGATAAAGGTAGATCTAATCTAGCAATCAAACAACAAAGCTCAGCTCTAGCAACATCAGACCTATATTCCCAGTTCCTATAAGACCCATCAGGATTCAAAGCAAGCCTAGTTTGAACCAAATTAGCCTGTTCTGTTTTCTTCTTGCATGAGAGCATATGTCTTTTCAAATAACCAGTGCCATTAGCAGATTTACCAGACAAACAAGACTTACAGAGCTTACAAATAGCAACAACACGTACCTCACCGTCCACTGTCTCTATGATTTCATCAAAGTTAGCCCAGATAGGGGATCGACGCTTACTAGTGGTGGACAAAGCCAGAGATGCTGTATCGCTGGTGGCTGCAGCACTGGCCGCTGCATCGTCTCGGTTGGTCGGAGCAGCACTCCTACCGAACAAGAGATGAGCAGCATCTCCCATGTCATCTTTGTCATCGGGGATCTGCCCTGTGGCCCTGAGCTCATCGTTGATGGTTGGACCATCGTCACCATCAACAGACTCAGAGCTGGCCATGGCAGATGGCACCCACCCAGCCGGCACCGTCCCTCAACGCCTCCTGCGGCACCAGCTACACCTACACACCAGCGACCTACGAACCAAAAACATCGAGAAATGGATTAGGGTTCATGTGATTGCCTACTAGATCTAGGGTTAGGGTTAGGGTTAGAGGTACTTGCCTGCATGGAGACGGAGCCCGGCACCGGAGAAATGGAAAAGAAGACAAAGACGAGATGGAGAAGAGGGGGGAGATAAAAGGAGATCCCAAGATCCGGTCAGAGAGGTAGGGAGGAAGAAGTGAGACGAGGAGGGGGGAGAGATCAGAGAAGAGGAGATCTCAACATCCGGCGTCAGCAGCAGTAGCTTGGGAGGTGGACGACGGCAGCGGTACCCTAGGAGGTGGTCGACGGTGGGCGGCGAGCGGCGACTGGCGGCGAGAGGCGAGGCGAGGTGGGGATTAGGGTTAGGGTTTCAGAGCTCAGAGGCGAAGGTGGCGGGCGAACGGCTGCGAGCGCGGGTGGAGTGAGGGAGAATGGCCGAAGGTGGGGGTCCGCCGGGGCGGGGGGGCTTATATAGCCCCTCCAGCTGCCGGGCCTCTACCGGGCCGGCCGTTGTAAAATGGGCCGGGCCGAGGCCTCATCCTAAGCCCGGCCTGCTACGGGCTTTGGGCCGGCATGGGCCCGGTTAGGGTTCGGGCCGTGCCGTGCTCGGGTTGGGCCCAATAACCGTGCTTTGGGCCGGGCCTTTGGCCCACGGGCTGCATGCACATATTTAGCTGGGATAGCTCCACTAGCTTTAGATGCACCAAATTTACATCCAGATTCAGAAAAGTTTATCAAACATCTTCAGCTCCACTAGCAGATCTGCTCCACCAAATTGGTGAATCTGATCCCAGATCACCAAATTGGTGGATCTCCTCAAGAGATGCTCCACCAGTGAAGTTAGGAGAAATTACCTATGTTTACCGTCGCTAGCGCCCCTTCCTCTCCCACATCCCCACGCCTGGCCACGCCGAAGCCCCGCCCAGAGGTCGTCGGAGACCAGCCTGCGGCCATCTCGCTCGCTCGAGCCCTGCCATGACACAGTCGCGACCTCTACCGGACCACGCCACACCCGCCTACCACCTCTGGCCCGCGAGCTCCCTAGGCGCGCGCGCCATGGCCGGTCGCCACCTCCGTCAGCCTCGCCGCACCCACCCGTGAGCCCTTCGCGCCTTGGCTGGCCACAAGCTCTTTGGGCCCACCACGCCGCGCACCAAGGTCAGCCGCTGGAGCTCCAGAGGCCGCCTGCCCGCCCCGGTTGCAGTCTCTGGCCCCGCCCCGATGGCACGAGGTCCCGACGCCGGCCACGAGCTTGGGTCGCAAGCTCCACTCCAATGCGTCTCTCCTCGAGCCTCGCCTCGGCCACGTTGTGGCATTTCTCCGGCAGTATGTCAGCGCCCCGGCCGCGGCCTCTGGCACGGCCCCCTCCCCACCAGATGCCAGCCATGAGCTCGGGCAGCGAGCTCCACTCCGCTTCGACGTGCGATGCTCTGCTCTAATCCGATCCGTAGGAGGAAGATAGAGTGGATGAAGGTCGTAGGATCTCTGGTTGGCCCAGAGGAGGGTAAATACACCTGTCAAAACAACCACTCAAACTTTTATCAAATTCACCTTGCGGCACTGCCGCTCTGGAGGACGGCACTGTCGGACTACGGCACTGCTGGACCAGAACAGCGACAATGCCGCACGTGCAGACAACTTCGAACCACAGTTCAAAATCCATGAACAAAAACTTAGATCGGAGAAATTTCCTAGTTTACTACAGGTACGACAATCACAGATCAAGAGCTAGAAGTGGTAGGAACACCACACACAAGTAGATCGACTAGAAACCCTAGAAATCACCTTAACCACAATATGTTATGCAAGTAATGTAAATCAAGCACAAGTGACACAATGATTTATCCCGTGGTTCGGCTTGCCACCAAGACTTGCCTACCTCCACGTTGTTGAGGTTAGCCACTAAGGCTTAGGGCTTTTCAACCCATCCTCATTCTCAAATCAAAAGACTTAACTCTTGAGATGAAGGGTGAGTTTACTAACTTCAAGAGATAGTTACAAACCTCCGGAGCTGCCACACAACTTGGCAAGCTCCACGAGCGACGCTCTAGCCGGCTAGGAGCTAAGCTCTAAGAGTAACAAACACAACCGTCGGCCAAAGCATGAACCAGGTGCTCTTTAGAGTTGGGGGATCAATGGAGCTGCTCTCTAATCGAGTTTTGGAGCCTTTTCCCTCAAGGATTGATGGGAAAATCAATAGATTTGCTTGGAGGCTTGAGGTCAACAATGAAGGGAGAGAGAGAGAGCTCCTGCTCTGTTTTGGGCGTGTTGAAGTGAGAAAGAAGAGGCAGAGAGCCATTGGGGAGGAAGGAGAAGGGCATAAATACCCCCAGCCCCCAACGATCACTTAAATCATGGTAGTACCACGGCTCAAGTGCGGCAGTGCCGCACCATGCAAGACAACAAGGGTAAGAGTGAAGTGTAGACTATCTTGGCTGTGAATCTGAGAATGTATGTGTATGTTTGAGCACTTGATAGTACATATTAGCTTAAGCATTGTGACCCCTTTTATAGTATGGCTTTCCTATACTCAAATTCAAAATATAAAAGAATTTAAACATCTTTTGAGTTTGAAGCCATCTATATTTGTAATTGGGGGCTCCTCCATTTCGTGTAGCATCCTCGAACATGAATTCCCTGCTTATCATCTCAATAAATCTCATTAGTTCTCTAATTGCATGATCATTATCACCAAAACCCACAATTAGGGCTTGATTGGACTTTCAATCTCCTCCTTTTTTGTGATTGATGATAACACAATTAGAGCTTACAAAAGATATAAAATAAATACTGAGATTTTCGAGCCATGGGTGTAGAGCATCCCCTAAATGTGTGAATAGAGAATTGAATTCTCAAATTAGCATAAGAAGTCAAGATTCATATTTTAGTAAAAGTGATGGGGCTTCCCCTACATCCATGCTCCTGTGGGGTGCTGCATACTGAGTCAGATATGTGAAATGTGATTCAAATGAAAGGTTTATGCACAATATATTTTGCTGTTGCGACTGGGTGCGGCACTGCCGCACTTGCTATAATAGTACAAATCAAAACAAATGCCACACAGCATGTGGTACATATAAAAATATATATTCTAGCACAATTGTATCACAAGCGACGGCATAGATTAATATATGTCCATATCCCACACATATATAAAATACTTAAGTAGCATTATTACATAAATAGAGTTTCTAATGGACTCTCAAACTCTCACCTAACGAAGACTACTCTAAACAGATACGAACATGACTCTAGCTGCAGCAACTTCCTCTCCATGGCGTCGAAAAAGTTGTTGACCCATCTAATTTTCTCCCCCTTTGGCATACAGTACCAAAAAGAAAAGAAAAGAAGAAAGACCAACACTCACTCCTCATTCTCTTGGATGGTGTCCTAATCGACATCATCCCCACCAGCAGCTCCACTAGCACCTCCAATGTCCTCCTCTCCACCATCATCACCGTCGTCGTCGGAGGAGGAGGAAGATGAAGACACCACCGCCCTCCCTTGGCGATGAGTGGTCAAAGTGTGGTGCTCACTTTGGTGCTCCTCATGGACTGCAAGGTGGATCTCAAACTAATGTGTGGATCAAGCTCTAGCTGCTCCTCCTCCTCCTCCTCCTCATCTTCTAAATCTATGTCAGAAAGACTAGGAAAGTCATCAAACCTCGGCGGTGACTGAACTGAAGAAAGAGGTGACAGCCCTGCATGCTCTCTGACCTCCTGGTTGGCTTCACGGTTCTCCAACCGGTCCTGATATGCGGTCCTCGCTGCATAGGTGCATGTGGTGAAGATGGCATTGATCCACTTCCCAAATTTCTCCATCTTCTTTTCCTTGCGAGGCCTAGATCGGGACGACTCAGGCACGTCCTCAACTGATGGAGAGCGTCTCACTGCCCTGCTAGCACCTGCCTCTCGGGTCTTCTCAATTTTATAGACGATGTGAAGACCATCTTTCTCATATCTGTAGCCAGTGATCCTCTCAATCATAAATATGAGATAAGGGGCATAGGATATCCCCTTTCTCCCATCCTCCATGGCATTCCTCAGTTCACGCCGCATGAAGCGAGGGACATTAAACCTATCACCTCTAGGAGCAAATCTAGCAAGCACATTCCTGACATAGCCATTAAGATCAGAAGCTGCTCCATCCTTAAAATTGATAGTGTGCCTGATCAAATTGTTCAGAATGTAATAATAGCTCTTTAGGCCACTGACCTTCCCATATGCACTTCTCCTATCAATCCACATATATACAATGTCATGGATCTCAGCTCTAGCCTCATCATGAATGTAAGTGAAGCCCCGCTCCTCCTCTCCAAAACAAAGGATCCAGCTAAAAGTCACAAAATCAACTCTATAATGTTGTCCCTCAGTCATCCAGTGAATCTCCTTAGTGTAGATACTATAGAAGAAAGTGGCATGGAACTAGGCTAGCACTTCCTCATTCTAATTATATCTGAAGCTCATAATATTAGCGAGGCCAAACAACTCACAAGCCTTGATCACCTTATTGAATTCTGGCTCATTATTTGTCTTCATCTCCTCCCAATCAACATACTGCATCTTCACAGTCTTGGATTTCTTGGAGTTGAAGTTCACAAAAGCATAAAAGTTGGAATAAAACTCATTCCAAAACATGTAGTCAATCTCCAAATCCTTTGGCTGCTCATAGGGATTATTCTTATCTGCTTCCTCCACCATCTTCAGCTTTCCCGCATAGTTGAGCACGAGATGAGCACGTGTGTCAACAGGACGCCTCATGACTACATCATCAGAATACTCTCTAATGTAGTTTCTGTCAAACTCCTCAAGATGAGGTGGAGTATCTAGGCAAGCACCTAGAGGAATAGTGCAGCCAGCCCTCTCTAAGATCTCCTCCTCCTGGATCATCTGATCTCTCCTCTCCCTGTCTCTG